CATTCATATAAAGAGCTTAAATGCTTAAATAAAGTTTAAACTATCCCAGATTAACTACAGTGCCAACCATTCCCACTCACCCTTATACCATTAGCAAAATTGGCAGAGGTATGTTGGCAGGACTAAATGTGAATTTGTTTTTCCATTGATCACAATGTCAAAATATCAAATTTTTGGGCTGCTGCTGGACACTAGGCACTGTTCACTTCATGGTCCACTAGAAAAAAAAAAACATCTGTGGTCCACTAGACCCTCCTGTTACAGACATCACTGTCTTTGAGCAAGATAAAATCAGCTAACACACTTTCTACACTTCACACCTGAAGCTGCTGAGATGGGAGATGAAAAGCTGCCCAACGGGGAGTTACTCAGTTTCTGTACTCTGAAAATCTCTATTAATCCCACAGAAAAATCTTACACTAACCCAGCTAGGAATAAAGCTTGCTGTTATGTCAAGAAAAAAGGTACAGTTTCCTCAAAAAAAAATTTCAATCCCACTCACCTGCGCCCAGCATCGTAATGTTAGGTTTCAAAGTTCATAAACTTTATTTATTATTAAAGAAAACCACTTGAAAAGCCTAAAATTATTTTAAAACTGCTTTAGGAAAAAATATGAGTTCATATTTTCAAAGTTCATGGGGGAAAAAAGAAAGTTCAGTAATGGAGAATAAAAAATAGCAAACCTGGTAGATTTTAGCAAAGGTGAAAGTGACAGGAGTCTGCAGAAAATTTTTTGTTTTGGTACTTATAATGCAAAATTTTCATGACAGTAGAAAATTTCTCGTACTTTATCATCCTATACTGATACAACTAAACTTTACAAAGGAATTCTGAACAGTTAACAAAGAAAAATTAAAAAAAAAAGACCTCTGCGTATAGGATACACAAGTTGCTTCATGAGAAAAACAAAACATGTTCCAGATAGTCTCATCTATCATGATTTGTGACAGACATTCAGCCTCACATCTGTAAGATAAAGGAGATCCTCACTCAGCAATGCATCTCCAATTTCTGTGAGGGAAGATGCTTTTAGCTGTCGTCTTCTAGGTTTCAGTCTCCACACAAGCACAACACCCATTAAATGTAAAACTAACTACTACTGAACCTCTAGAGGACTGCAGTGCTGGGCAATATGTCCTACTCATAATGGACAAGTGCATCATTCAAGGCTTTAAATTAAAGGGTTTTCTTAGCTTTTTAGACTTAGGTTTTTCCTTTTTTTTTTAATTTTGGTAGATGTGGTACTTCCTATTTTCAAGGCTAAGAAGCTTCAGTTCGTGCTTTGTGCATGCACTAACAAGGAGCATCAAAGGCTTCGTTCTGCAGGCTACAAAGACTTCCTGTGTGACACCCCAATGACTTTCTTTGTGACATCCAGAGCTCTCCAGCCCCATCCTCACCAGCTGTAGTGAAAGGAACTAGGCTGAGTACCAAAGGACTCACGTCCAAGGTTATATTAATGACAATAGATCTACCCTGGCATGTATCAGTCCTGTAAGAGTACCCCTAGACCCCTGAAAGAAGGTGACTCTGGGGATGCTGCCTACTGGGAACAGTCCTTGGCCCAATCAAACCCCAAGCCACATAGATACAGTCCTTGGGAAAATGAATTAATTAGTGTGGACATAACCTCTGTGTCTTTTTGACCAGTTTAAAAGCAATCATATTGTTTTTCCACTGCTTTTATGTTTTTTTGTTTTTCTTTGGCTCTGCTGGGTGAAGATTTACTGTGAAGCATTTTTGTGTGTGTGTAGTGGATTCCCATCACAGGGGTTATTTTAACAGCCCCCCCTAACACAAACAGTATTTCTCAGCTGTCAACATACATTTATATATTAGACTCACAATCTTGTTGCACAGTAAATGTCTGTGTCAAGCAAGCAGCAAACCTCCAGAGTTTAGATTTTGCTTTCAAAAGTATCCATAAATGTGGATGTTCATCTACAGTGCACACAGATTATTTGAGACCTTTGGAACTGCAAAAGCAGGCAGGAAATTTTATGATATCACAACTTCTTCTAACATTTCCAAGCTTAGCAATGGATTCCAGCACTGCCTGGAAGAGGACTGTCCTAAAACAAAACAAAAACAAACAAAAACCCACACACACGCAAACAAACAAAAAAAACCACAAACCACACTACAACTTTGTAATGTCTTCAGAAAAAAAGCACTATCAGAACAGTCTATTTTGATGCTTATTTTGTCAAAGGTGAGTTGTTTCTCAGAACTGAAGGTTCAGGGTTCATTAATTTTCGGGTTTGTTTAAGCTCTTTTGTTCTCTGCTGCAGCCATAAGGAACTATAGCAGGAGTGTAAAAAAAGAAAATTGTTTAGTTTTAAGATCAACCATCTAAAAATTGTTTCCTTTACAATGCTAAAGAATTACCTGGACTGAGCACTGTAGCTGTGAATGAAACTTTAATTAAGAAGGGAAAGCAAGCATATTTAAAGCAAACTGTCCCTCTGTAATTTCTTTCTAAGCCATCAGACAAAACAGATGAGTAAAATGTTAAGAACAGATGAGGAGAAAGGATAGTCAATCTAAATTTGACTTTTTCAGGAAAGAAGACACAAAGAAAGCAGCTGTCAGTCTGGTGGCTGTTCAAACTCCCTTCTAGATATAAAAAGAAATCACAGTTCTGAGTTTCTAAAGAAGACATGATAGACTCAAAATTATTCCAAAAAGTTATTGACAAACTGTCAAAGTGTTTAGATTTCTAGTGAATAGACTGAACCAAACAAAAAGACCTGGTCACCACATTTTCAACTAATTGAAATCATACCTGGAAGAATTTAATTTTCAGACAAGATTTTTGTGAAGTCAACAGGAATTTTGAGCTGAGAAGAATATGAGGAAAATTACTTTTCTGACCAATGATGGATGAATATCAGACACAGATTTAAAGTTGTGAATCCTATACCAGGAATCATCTTTTTTATCCCTTTGCAACTTCCACATGCAAATATGCATGTTTCTTTCCCTTTTTTCCTGCATTAGTAACCTCAAAACTTGCTTCAGAACCAAAGTTGTTTTGGTTGTTTTGTATTTGTTTTGGTTTTGTTTTGGTTTTGGTTGGTTGGGTTGGTTTGGTTTTGGGTTCTTTTAGTTTGTTTTGTTTTGTTTTGTTTTGTTTTTTTTTGGGGGGGAGAAGTGCATGAAGGGGGTAGAGGGTGTGTCTTGGGTTTTTTTAGGAGGACAGATGAACACTTCCAGAAGGATTTGCTTTCATTCCAACACGGAATGAAAGCAAACTCTGAAACCTTGAGATTTGCCCTGAAATGTAACCATCACTTTTTGGTTTGCCTTACTAAAAAAAGTATCACCTGCAATAACAAATCTCACCACTAAAAAGCAACTGTCTCAAAAGAGCTCTTAATATGAGGACTTCCTTAGGTCTTTCAAAAGAATATTTGATGGAGCTATCTAAAGTAGCTTTAGCAATGCTAAAAGTGAAACTGCAGGTAGTTCCACTAATCATCTTTTTCTTCAGTAAAGCTTGATTTTACAGCTAGAAATATTTCTGATTATTACAGCCATGGGTAGGAATAAATACATTGGTCACTTCAAAATATGACTCCTTTGACTGAATAAGAAAGACTGTGAAAATGTAAAACTTAAATGAGCATTGGTCTCTTGCTTATGTATTATTGGCAATTGTGTCTACTACCAATCAGATGAAAAACTGTTTAAACAGTGATGTTTGCATTCATTTAACTGAAAGTTTAACAGCATCTGATTGATGAGGGCATGATATGTACTTGCTATTAGCAATATTTAAGCTGCCTAAGGTGTCTCATTCCAAGGCTACGATTGTACTGACACACTATTCATTAATAAATGAGCACTTCTCAAAATTGTAGTAGTTGTCTGCAAAAAACCTTTTCAGCTTCACTGAGAATGCCTTCAGTAGGGCAATTCAATGCATCCTTATGTAAAAACTTTCCTGCAGATGACATTGCCAATATGGTAAGAAGGAAAAGTTATAAAAAAAACCACTCAAAACTAATTTCCATAAAACTGTATAATGCTCTAATGCTGAACAAATACAAAGTGCACAATAATTTTCTCTGTTGTTCATGACTGAAACAAAAGCTTTGGCTCAGGTAGCTTCATTCTGTTATCTTTGTCCACAAAAGTAAATAGATCCATCAGCTAATACAATGGCTTATTATGAAAGGGCTGAAGAATGAGCATAGTGTTTCATCTAGGCAGAAGATGAGACAGAATGTCTCTTTGAAGCAGTCTTGATGCTTCAGAGGTTTACTGGAGGTAATGGAAAGAGATGATGTGGAAAATTGCCTCCTAGAGGTTGAATCGGTGTGGTCCCTGGGGTTTTCTTCTCCCCGCCCCTCTCTTTTGGACAGAGAGAAAGGGAAAGTAAAACTTCATGACCACTGTTATTCTTACATTTCAGAAAGACGATCATTGTATTTGGGATCACCCTACACTTTTAGTAAGGAACTGTGTTCTCTAGCACCAGGATACTTTAAAAGTGGAAAGATGTATCTGTGAATACTTCAGAAGTATTAGAAGTGAAGTGTTAGGTTTTGTTTTGTTCTGTTTTGTTTTTTTTCTCTCTCCCTCCCCCACTCCCTATTAGAGATAGGAAATGCAGGACTGAATTTGACCATCTCTAACTTACAACAGCAAACTGCATCAGACAAGAAACCTTGGGATATAACAATCTTGTGTTACTCAGAGCCTGCCAATGATACCATCCTTCAGAACAAGGATCTCATCTTACAATTTCCTTAACAGTGGCTTATTACAATGCAAATAGATGGGGGAGTCACATTTTTGCTGATGGGTAAGGATTAATTTATCTATATGTAGTATATTGTTATAGAATAGGATGGATTTCAACCTGCTTGTTTTTAGAAAACTCTTCAAGTATAGCACTTCTAGATTTCCATACACAGGCATTTAAAAAAAAAAAACAAACATTTAAGGTCTATTATTTTTTTTATTACAGGCAAAAGAAATTTTGATGTGCTTACCTTTGCAATTGCCCCTGTAGGCTATTTCCAGCTGAGGGTCTTTGCATTTTGCACGTTGAAATTCACACCGGGACAGAAAAGTTCTTCCGTCAGATGCACAAAGTGATTTCTGAGGGGAACCTGCACAGTCCAGGCTGCATTCCCTGTCTTTGTCTTGGTCCACTCTCAAAAACTAGAAAAAATAAATTAATGCTGTAGGAATGCTATTGCCATGTGAAAACTACTCTGTGATCCTCTTCCCCAGGAAAGATACACAAATATTACTTAAAAAAATTAAAAGAAAGCTCTGCATTTTTAGTGTATTCAAATGCTAGCTGATTCACCATATCTGGGGTCATTCAGCTGCTGTTTTCAAATGGTAGTGATTGCAACATTTCTGTAACATAAACTAAATCCACTATCACAATTAGGAAATCTACTTCAACCATTCTGCAGCTGAAAACAGTGGCTTGAACTCTTTAGAGCAAAAATGGTGATCCCAGAAACATTTTTCAAAACAAAACTCAGACAGCAATGGAAACTTGTCTATTTTATTACCTATGCATTAACTAGTTTACAATTACAAGCTGAATAGTCTGTTCTAAGATCAATATAGGATTTTAAACACCAATACTCATGTAAAATTATACCCACAATATCTCCAATGGCTTCAGTGCAAGGGGTCTGAAGAGAAAATGAGTAGTAGAAGAATCTTAGGAAATACCTTATTAAACATAACAGATCACTTATTCTTGCAATACTCATATTCAAAATGTAAAGACTCTTCAACAAAGCAGAAATTTCAGATATAATTTATAGAAATATTTGTATTTGTGTATATACATGCCAAGATTGAAGAGGGAAATGTTATAAGCTTTAAATTTTTCAAGTAGGACCATTCTTAATTGTAAGTATGAGTGATGGAGTCCTGCACTTGAGTCACAACAACCCCATTCAGTGCCACAGGCTTGGGGAAGAGTGGTGGGTAAGCTGCACTGTGGAAAAGGACCTGGGGTGTTGGTCAACAGATGCCTGAATATGAGCCAGTAGTGTGCCCAGGTGGCCAAGAAGGCAAACAGCATCCTGGCTTGTATCAGAAATGTGTGGCTAGTAGGACTAGGGAAGTGACTGTCCCCTTGTGCTCAGCATTGATGAGGCCACACCGCAAATACTGGGTTCAGTTTTGGAGAAACTCTCACTATAAGAAAGACATTGCTGTGCTGGAGCATGTCCAAAGAAGAGCAGTGAAGCTGGCGAAGCGTCTAGAGAACATCTTGTGAGGAGTGGCTGAGGGAATTGGGGTTGTTTAGCCTGGAGAAAAGGAGGCTCAAGGGAGACCTGAATTGCTCTCTACAACTACCTGAAACGAGGTTAGAGCAAGGCGAATGTCAGTCTCTTCTTCCATGTAACAAGTGATAGCACAAGAGGAAATGGCCTCAAGTTGCACCAGGGGAGGTTTAGATTGGTAAAATTTCTTCATTGAAAATGTTATTCAAGCATGGGAACAGGCTACCAAGGGAAGTGGTGGAGTTACCATCACTGGAAGTATTTAAAAGATGAAGATGTGGCATTTAGGGACATGGTTCAGAC